AATCCCTCACTGTCAGCTTTGTCAGTAACAGAGATCTGAACGTTCACAAACAGACAATTTACAGAATCAAAAACAGACCAAATTAATGCTTAAAAGATATCTTATTCACCACGCCCGTGAATCCCTCACTGTCAGCTTTGTCGAATACAGGAATCGATGTGTATATACACCCATTCCATTGTGTTTACCAAATACCGAATTTACATCCAAGTGGCAGCACACCTTCAGATACCAACATCAAGTGACTGTCTAACCGTAAATTGTAAGTTGTGGCCACGAAGCACTTTCAATTCTCCGATTTACAGCATACCTTCAGATATAATAATTATTCTACAAATACTTAGTGAGATTCTCACCTGCATCTTATATATGCGGATATCCCGCGGTTCACGAGAGTTCTTCGGACAGTACTCTCGTATTGGAAACCCAACGCAATCCGGTGTCTGCGTCGTCCACGTTTTTGTTTTGTTTCTTTCTTTTTTTATTCTTTATAATAAGGGAAGTTACACATAAACTGTGTCGATCATCCAAATTCACATGATCAAGAATCTAGACAAACTCAGCAAAAAGGGAATGACTTTGAAATTTACGTCTTCTTATATTCTGTTGGACAAAGCTTTATAACAATAGCAACAGAAATAGTTTGCGTAAGACACAAGAGATTTCTAACTTAGAAATTTCTTTAGATAATGAAGAATTTAAATTATATGATTTCATTACTATATCTGGAAGAGGAAAATCAACAATTCGAATCGGAAAATAATTTCTTATAAATCAAAAAAATTTTTATTTATACAAGATTGTATATAACAACATGAAAAAAGTAAAATTAAAGAAAATTTATCTCTTTTCTCCCGCCTTGAATGTTCAATCCATAATTCTTTCTCCCCCTCCTCCCGTTTTAAACTTCTACCTGTAATTCTTTTTTCATATCTTCTCCCCTTCTTAATATCAGTGTCATTTTTTATCCAACTCTTCTATTCGTTTATTTGTTACCATTACTGCATTACATAGAACAACTTCGATACCTTCTCTTTCTACAAGAACATGCAGATTGAGAGCGACAAAATCTTCAAGATCTTTGACTATCTTATTTTCTTTTTCATTTACTTTTGTTAATTTGATCAGATAAGGAGATTCTGCCACTTCCTCATCTGCATACTTGGTAATTGAATATGCTACTATCATCGCAATGCAGCAATGGTAACTTTTCTTTCTTATGGCTTTATCAAGTACTCTAGCCATCGATCATACTACCTCAATGCCTTTTAAAGAATAATAATAATAGTAAGTTAATATCAGTATCTAATACTTTTTTTAAAATATAGATATCTTACCAACTCCTCTTTTATGTTTTTTACATTGAATTAATACTGTACAACCAAGATGTTGTACAGTCAAATCCCATCCACTATCTCCATTTCCATGTCCGGTTTTATTTCTGGATGATATATATAATATATTAAATTTAATGAGTAAAATGTATCATCACAATCAAAAACCAATTGAAGAACGTTCACAGCAGGCTGTCCACCGTACGTCAGGACTGGGTACCTGACTGGCAACTTTCGCAAGCTGTGGCCACGATGCGCTTTCAATTCAAATGATCAGTATATCCTATTCACCACAACCCGGGACCCCGGTCGGCTTTCGGTAACAAAATCCGAAATACAACAACTCAACCACCATACATTAGAAAACTAATAGTGTTTTTAGAATGTATCCTATTCACCACAACCCGGGACCCCGGTCGGCTTTCGGTAACGAAGTTTCGATTCATTTACACCTTATGTGCTTCCGAAAACTTCGATTTACACCTAGTGGCAGCGTACCTTCAGATACATACACTATTGAGGTTCCAATTCTATAACTCAAGTAAAGCAAAGCTTGATACTAAAATTATAGAAGTGGCATGAAGTATATTCGAATTCCGATATTTTACACCTAGTGGCAGCGTAACTTCGGATATACAATTGATTATTTAACAAATTACTCAGTGAAAACTCACCTCGACCTCCACTCTACATCGTATCCCGCATCTAATAGGATATTATATATCCTCTCTTCATATTGAATTCCAATATTAATATGTGTGTTTGACATGACTAAAAATAAAACAAAATTATCTGATAAGTTGTTCCTGTATTTGACTTTGTTAAGAGTATTCAAAATGAATCAATATATTACTTTCGAAGGAGAGAAGATAGTTAGTAAAAAGGTTAGATACATTCATCTTGACAAGCGTTCGTTATTATTAAAAGTATACAAAATGGTATTAATTAAAACAAATATGGTATCTACTCATCTTTTTCATGTACCGTTTCGTCCATTAATTCTCATGAATGTGGCTTTGATATTAGTCTAATATCATGTTCGTTAAACTTTTCTCTCTATCCTAAACGTTCGCTTCAAGACTTCATATCGCTTAAGGTTTCGACAACACCACGTTTCGAGACATGTTCAATTTAGTACATTGTGCCATGCAACTAACAAATACCAAGTTTGTATCTTTAACGCTAAAGATATCTCTCGAAATGTAGATAATAGATCTATAAGAGAAGTTACACATAATTTGTGTCGATCATTCAAATTCACATGATCGACAAGCCACAAGAAAAATTTTCTTTATATAATATTACTATTACATATTTTCTACTCGATTTAAGGATTCGAGTAATCCACAATAAGTTAATATTGTTCTTAAGCATATTATTGTTTTACATATTGATAATCTCATTTTTAGGCCTTTGGATGTAGCAGAAACTCATTATTATTATATAAGAAAAATTTTTTTGTGGCTTGTTGATCATGTGAATTTGAATGATCGACACAAATTATGTGTAACTTCTCTTATCAATCTATCATCTACATTTCTCAAAGATACAAACTTGGTATTTGTTAGTTACTGTTACGGACAAGCCGCACCGATGAATCGGCCGCAGCAAGTCATGTGATAAAATCTTCCTCCGTGCTCCGCAGTCCGCAGTCCGCAGTCTGTAACCCATGATCGACTTAATTTTAGGGAGTAGTAATACTAGAAATTTCATTGCCGATTTAGATACAAATTAGTCGCAATGAAAAGGACCCAATTTTAGTAATATTTCATGACGCAAAATTGGTGTTTGGCGCGTT